GCATATTTGTCACCATTAAAAATATACGTTACTTTTTAACAAAAATACGAGAGGACAGAAACACTAAAACTAAAAGCAAAAATTTAAGAATTAGAAAATGTACTGGTAAAATTTGTTGATGTGAAGTACTTAGACGGTGAACTCACAGGACTCTAACACAGCAGTGGAGGGGATGGCAACAAAGCTGTTAGCAGAAAATAATTAAATTTAAGAAAGAGTGTAAAATTGTAAATGAGCTGATGGAAAGACAGACAAGAAAAGGTGAAGAACTAGGCAGAACCATGGCAGGTTTAGCATTCCTGTGGCTCCCAAAGTGGCTGTGCTGAGACACAGAGTTCCGTAAAGTCTGAATCTGTACACGGCATCTCCGGGGAGCATGACTTCGGGACCCCTTCCTCAACTGAAGACAAATTAAGATATTGAAATGTCAAACCCATATGCAAATGAAACAAACAGTAATTAGAAAAGGAGCTGTAAGTGGTGAGGTCAGACTGGGAAGGGTTTGTGCCACAAAGAACGAGGGAATGAGAGAAAGTTATTATGTGAGAGAGGGTTACTTCCCGAGGCCTATACCTCAAGAGGGCTCTGGTTAAAGCTTCTGTAGGACTTTTCTCCAGCTAATTGTGGTCCTGGTGAGAGAGATGACTAGCTATGTCTGACCCACCCATGCTGTCTTGTCTGGTTTGCCCCACAAGCTCCCAATGCCAAGGGGAAGGGCTGAGCCACTCCCCAGGCCCCTGGAGCCAGGCTGGGGACAGCAGCACCTCCAACAGCTGTGGCTTGTCCTGCGCTGCCTCCTGCTGTCACCAGGCAGGTCTGGGCCAGCTCAGGGGCCCACAGGATCCCACAGCCAGTTTCTCAAACAGATGAGTAAGTCTAAGGGTCCGCTGTCTAAACATATAAAAAAAATAAAACCCATGGCCAGTCAAATCAATAAACACAGAAGGAAGAATGCACGCAATGAGAAATGAAAAAAAAAAAAGGGAGAAATAACCACAAATACAGAAGAAATTAAAAATATACAGTGCCTATATTGCAAAATTATGCAACTATGTAGAAAAATGGATGAAAATAATTTTATTTAAAAGAAACATAGGTAAAATTGACTCTAGAAGTGCTCAGGACCCAAGCTGCACAGTGGGAGCAGTCCAGAAACATCCCAGAGCAGGCCCGGACAGCCCAGGTATCTCCTTCACACTTAAATAGAAAATAATTCTAAAATTGTAAAACCAAGTAAATGGTTGTAGAATATAAAGGTTTTTGTTTTATACTTTTTTTATTTTTTGAAATAAGCAAAAAATTAAATCAAATCTGGAAGAAATAGCACATGAAAGCAAGGCGCAGAATAAGTAATCCCAATTATGGATATTGATAGCAAATCTCATGAGACCAAGTAGGGATCATCTCCAGAATGTAACGATTTGGTCTTACAGAGTCTATTAATATAATTAAGCATACTATTAGAGCAAAGAGAAAAACTTGATAATTCCTATGGATACTGAGAAGGCTTTGACAAAAACCTAACAGGTACATTTTCCCCAGACAGCCTTAATAATTTGAGAATACACGGATATGTTTTTTATTATGGCAAGGAAAATACATGTCTTCATACAAGTTGAATGGCGAAACATTAAAACATCCCATTCGCGTCAAGGACAGCATAAGTATACCACTTGAACTGCTGCTACTCGACACTGTTCTCAGGTGTGACTGGATAAGCGAGAGAAGTAAGGGAGATACGGGAAAGGAAGAGCCAAAAGAAAATGTTAGAAACAGTAAGAAATCACAATTACTGTGGTTGACTATAACATTCATACATAAAAACCAGCTACTTTCCTGTACATCCAGTTGGAAAATAAAATGGAATAAATCATTCCATTGAAAATGGTAGCCACATGGTGAAACATCTGGAAATAAACAAGAAATTTGTGGGATCTGATTGAACAAAACCACAAAACTCTACTGAGTGACATAAAATTAGACTTGAACACAAGGCTAGACTGCAGTGTTCTTCAAGGAAGATTCAATTAATGTATAAATTCATCATGACCCCAATTTTTAAAACATTATGTATATGAGAGAGAGAGGGAAAGAGTTGAGAGGAGTGTGGACTTGAAAATACTGATATTAGTGTGAATAAAGTTTAGACATTAAAGGCATTTACAGATCAATCAATAGAATAGGAACAGAATCAAACACTTAAAGAAACTTAGTTTACATACAAGGTGGCATTTTGAACAAGCAGGGAAAAGACTAATTGTATTACAGAAATGCATTGTTTTATATTTGTTGGCAGAACTGACCACCATTTGGAGGGAAAAAAATGGACCTTTACCTCCAATTCCTGCAATAAATGAATTCCAGGGAGTTAGAAGATATAAAGGTAAACAAATGAAACCATAAAGTTTTAGAAGAAAATATGAGTAAGTTTATTCATAATCTCAGAATGGGGAAGGCTTTTTAAAACTGGAAACAAACCCCAGGATCTACAAAGGAAAATATGGATAAATTTTCAACATAAAAAGTTAAACTTTCTCTATTTCAATAAATGAGCAAATCAATAGATAACATCAAAAGACAAATTATAAACAAAAATATTTTCAAGACCTAAGACAAAAATATCCCAAAGTGCACAAGCAAATTAAGAAAAATCCAAATAACCCAATTAAAAATTGGGTAAAAGATATAAATTTACAACAATTGAAATTACCAAGAAATATTTGAAAAGATGTTCCTCTTTGCTCATAATAAAATAAACTAAAATCATAATAATATTCCTAAATATCATTTTTCACCAATTAGATTGGAAAAAAATTGTTTGAAAATACTCTACTAGAAAGCTGAGAAACTGACCCTTTTATCATACTCTTGGTAGTTATATCCACTGACTAGTTTCTGCAAGATAATCTGGCAATATCTATCAAAATTTTGCATGCACATAACCTTAAATCCATCAATTCCAAATTGGAATTTATACCAAGACATAGTCACAAAAGTATGCCAAGATACATGTACAAGGATGCTAATTATAGATTTGTATATAAAAGTAAAAACTGGAAATATTCATATGTTCACCAATAAAAGACTATTCAAATAAATTATAGTTTGCTGAGAGAATGGAACACCAAGCAGCTATTAAGAGGAATGAGGTAGATCTTTATATGTTATTATGGAAATATCTCTAAGACAAAACACTGCATGAAGAAAGCAAGGTACACAGCGCTTTGCAGAGCATGAACACTGGAAAGGGGATGTCTCTCTCCACAGCCCCCTATCCCTCTTTGGCTCCCTGCCTTCTTTCTTGAAAGGCCTCTGGAAGCTCATCAGTGGTCCCTGTGGGGAGAGGAAATAGGGAGTACAGGAGGCTGTGAGAGGTGGTTTTTTTTAACCATTTGGTACTTAGTTCTAACTATATGCACATCTATTCCTTATTATTACTTTTTTTAAAATGACAGAGTAGTTATTTGGGTGGAACTGCTTTTGTTTGCTTTTCATGTTTTCCATATAAAATACAAAACCAATTAAGTTTTTCTTTTTGAAGCAAAAATATGTTAGGTATCAATTTTTGGATAACCATAAGAAATGAAGAATTCTCTTTATGTATCAAAACACTTCTACTTGTTTCTGAAGACACTTTAACAGAAAAAAAAAAAAGGACACTGAAAATCGTGTGCATTGTTCATCCACATCCTGCAGCATGGGTGAACGCTGAGGAGGACCCTGCTCCAAGTGGCCTGAGGCTGGAATGTCCTGATTTATCAACCTTCTTGTTGTAAACAAGGTCTCCTCTCTTCCATCACATACACAGTTACTTGTGCAGCACACACACACACACACACACACACACACACACACACACACACTCACACAAGCCTCCATTTTCCTCCAGTGCAAACACATTCAAGTGCTTTGTCCAGAAATGAGTGAACTGGATAGCTGGGGGAAATGTATGTATTTCTTTTACTCTGAAAATCTAATCTTCCCTCATGATGTGCCCACATCAAGGCAAATTAAAGATCTCTAGGAGCTCAGAAACCTGCAGTTTTGAGCTCCAAGCAGTTGTCGTATGACACAATGCAACAACATGCTTTCTTGGTCAATTACCCTCTGATGAGAAGAGGCAAAGTGATATTGTCAGCTAGATAATCTAAGGAGAGAATTGTGTCATCACATAGGTTTAAAAATTAAAGTTTCTCTTGTTTTCAAAACACCCATCCTCCAGTAAATCCACCCCATGGACCCTGAAGCAGGCTGAAGCTGGGGTGGACAAGCTGGGGAGAGGCAGATTCCCAAAAGCTAGAAACAGAGTTGCTGACTGAGATTGTCTGCCAACTCCTTTCTGTTGACTGCCATTGGCCTGGCATCCAGAGAAGCCTTTGGCCACACCATTCCCTCCCTAGTGCCTGCCACACAGGGGACACAAGAGGTCCCAGGCCCTCCCCTTGGTCCTGACACTTGGAGAAAAAGCTGAGGAATACTTTCAGTTTAAATTGTGCATTCGCATAAAGGTACAAATTCCTAAGACTAATCATCTCCAACACATGTGACTCATCTAATATATTATTTTTTAAAAAAAAACACAAAACCGGTTTAACTTAGCATTAGCTATTCCTTGGGCTGTTAATTCTAAAAGAACTCTATTTGTCCTTAGGGTTTTGCAGAATAGAACAACAGACTCACTGAATTCCTCAGTGTCCAAGAAACTTGGAGTCATCTGTGATCTATAGGAGACACCCGGTGCACTCAGGAGGACCTGGTCCTAGTTCAGAGTCAACACAAACCTGTGTCCCTCCGGTACCCTTGACAGGGAAGGTTTGCAGAAATAAGTCAGACTGGCAAAAACATAGTTTATAAAACAAACTGTGCCTCTCTCCTTTTTTAAATGTGGAAACAGCATAAAACTGTTTCTCTCTACCAACTGTCTTTGGTAGAGAGAGAAAAAAAGTTGAATTGCAGAAAAACCAACAGATAGACTTTTAGTTCTACTTTTTTGTTTGTCTTCCTTTCATCAGTCAATTATTTGAATGGATTTAGTGAGTTTGGTTTATTATTATTATTAGTTTCAATCTAGGTTTGTACACAGGCAAAAGCATAGGTTGAATTTTCATGTAGACCTTCATGGCAAGTGACATGCAGGCATGCAAAACCAACTGTACAGGCTTCCCCTAGCAGTCAGGAGCTACCAGGACCTCTCTGAAGGGCTCTCCAGGAAGTGGGCAAATGGGCAAAACGACCTCTCAGTGGCCTTGCTGGCTGACCATAAGGATGTGCCAAGGGTATCGATTAGCCCACCTAAGAGAATTAAACAAAAGGTGCTGAGATCCCATTACCGAAAGTAACAAGGAAACCATAACCAACATGATTGACAGCTACAAGGTACATTGGCATTGCCGAGTTTAATGCTGCTGAGGGATTAGCACCCCAAATTCTCGCCAAGCCAAAGAGACTCTGCCTATCTATGTGTTTCTAGCGCGTCCAGAACCAGGTGAAGTTATGCGAAGTCTTTGGACACAGCCTCGACAAAGTTTGGAGCAGACATCAGGATGCCGATGGTGCAGATGATGGTGAAGATGGAAAAGGCCATGAGGCACAGGCGGTCCACCACACATGCCGCGAACTTCCACTCGCTGCAGACCGCCTCGCTCTCATCCTGGCAGCGGAAGCGGTTAGCGATGTAACGGACCTCCTCCAGGATCTTGGCCAGGTCCGGGTCGCCCTCGGGGGGATGCCCGCCATGCAGGAGGTGTTCATCATGTGTGGGAGAGCAGGCCATGCGGCCACACACAACCCCAGAGTCGGGGGTCGGGGCACAGTGCATGCCATCCAGGCCTCGGAAGCCAATGTACAGCAGGTTCCCATTGCTGGCTGGCGGCGCCGCCACGGTGCTCATCTCCACACTGGCCAGGCTGCAGCGGCGCTGCTTGTGTTGGCACGCTGGGCGGACCTTGTCTTCCCCGGGCCGTTTCATGCGCAGGAACCATGCACACCAGTTCAAAAGGATGACTCTGGTCTGGGGAGACAACAGAACGGGCATCAGCTGATCCCCACAGCAACACGATCCTATAAATGAATTAAAAATTTACTAAAGAAATAGACATATTAGCAAAAAAACAAATAGAACTTCTGGAAACGAAAAATTCATTTAAGGAAATACAAAACCCATTGCAAAGCTTTAAGAATAGGCTAGACCAGGCAGAAGAAAGAATTTCAGAGCTTGAAGACAACTCTCTCGAATTCATCCAGTTAGTCAAAAATAAACAACAAAGAATCAAGAGGAATGAGCAAAGCCTATGAGAAATATGGCATTATGTAAAATGGCCAAATATGACATCATAGGCATCCCTGAGGGTGAAGAAGAAAAAGCACAAGTGCTGGAAAACCTATTTGAGAGAACAATTTAAGAAAATTTCCCTGGTCTTGCTAGAGATTCAGACACCCAGATATAAGAAGCTCAATGAACATATGGGAGATTCATTGCAAAGAGGCAGTCACTAAGACATACAATCATCAGACTGGTCAAAGTCAACAGGAAGGTGAAACTCCTGTGAGCCATGAGGCAAAAACATCAAGTAACTTACAAAGGAAAATCCATCAGGCTAACTGCAGACTTCTCAGCAGAGATCTTACAAGCCAGAAGGCATTGGAGCCCCATCTTCGGTCTTCTTAAACAGAACAACTGCCAGCCTAGAATTTTGTATCCTGCAAAACTAAGTTTCATATAAGAATGAGAAATAAAGACTTTTCCATACAAGTAAACACTGATGGAATTTGTCACAACCAGACTTGCCCTGCAGGAAACACTCAGATCTGCATTATTAATATCATATGGATAAGCACAATAGACACCCACCAATGTAAAATCACCCAAAAGCTAAAGCTCTCCTCTCATATAAAACAGCACAAGAGGGAAAGTGAAGCAATAAGGTACTACTCAATACGATGAATGGAACAGCATCCCACATATTCTATCACTCAACATTGAACAGTCTGAATGCCCCACTCAAGAGATATAGGCTGGCTGAATGGATAAAAAATACAACCCAAATATCTTCTGTCTCCAGGAAACACATCTAACCCACAAGGACTCATACAGACTCAAAGTGAAGGGATGTAAAGAAATACTCCATGCAAATGGAAACCAAAAGAGAGCAGGTGTAGCCATTCTCATATCAGATAAAACTGACTTTAAATCAACAATGTTAAAGAAAGACAAGGATGAACATTATATAATGGTAAAGGGAGCAATTCAACCAGAAGAAATAACAACCCTTGAATATATATGAACCTAACACAGAAGCTCCCAGATTCATAAAGCAAACTTTACTAGCTAAGCAAAGAGATAAATAGCAGCATTGTAATTGCCGGGGACTTCAGCATCCCACAGACAGAGCTGAATAGATCATTGAAGCAGAAAATGAACAAAGAAACACTGGACTTAAATGGGATTCTAGAACAAATGTGCCTAACAGACACTTACAGAAACTTCTACCTCAAAACTACTGAATATACATTCTTCTCATCAGCACATGGAACATTCTCCAAGATTGATCAAATCTTAGGCCACAACACACATCTCAACATTCAAAAAAATCAAATCATACCATGTATCTTCTCAGACCACAGTGGAATAAAACTAGCAATAAATTCTAAGAGAAACACTCAAATCTACACAAAGTCATGAAAATTAAACAACCTTCAGCTGAAGTATTATTGGGTCAATAATGAAATTATGGTGGAAATAAAAAAATTCCTTAAACCAAACAACAAAGGGTACACAAGCTATTGAACTCTATGGGATTCAGCAAAAGCAATCCTAAGGGGAAAATTCATAGCTTTAAATGCCTACATCAAAAATACAGAAAGATCGCAGATTAACAACCTAATGACACATTTGAAGGAACCGGAAAAGGAAGAGTAAACCAAACCCAAAGCGAGCAGAAGAAAAGAAATAACTAAAGTCAGAGCAGAACTAAATGAAATGGAAAATAACAAAAATACAAAGTATCAACAAAACAAAAAGTTGGCTCTTTGAAAGGACAAACAAAATTGATAGACTTCTTGCTAGATTAACCAGGAATAGAAGAGAAAGGACTCAAATAAGTTTAACTAGAAATGAAAAAGGAGATATTACAACTGATACCACAGAAATATAAAATATCACCTGTGAATACTATGAAAATCTCTGCATACATAAATTAGAAAATGTAGAGGAAATGGACAAATTCCTGGAAACACACAACCTCCTAAGGCTTAATCTGGAAGAAATAGAACTCCTGAACAGAGCAATAATGAGCAGAGATTGCAGCAGTAGTAACAAATCTCCCAACCAAAGAAAACCCTGGGCCAGATGGATTTACAGCCCAATTCTACCAGATCTACAAAGAAGAGGTGGTACCCATACTGCAGAAATTATTCCATAACATCGAGAAGGAGGGAATCCTCCCCAGCTCATTCCATGAAGCCAGTATCATCTTGATACCAAAGCCAGGAAAGGACACAACAGCAACGACAAAGAGAAAACTGCAGACGAATATTCCCTATGAATAGAGATGTAAAAATCCTTAATAAAATACTAGCAAACTGAATTCAACAGCACATCAAAAAAATAATAATCCACCATGACCAAGTGGGCTTCAACCCAGGGATGGAAGGATGGTTCAACATATATAAATCAATAAATGTGATTCACCACATAAACAGAAGCAAAAACAAAGACCATATGATCATCTCAATAGATGCAGATCAAGCATTCATCAAAATCTAGCACTTTTCATGATAAAAACTCTCAATAAACTAGTAATAGAAGTAACACATATCAAAAATTTAAAAGCCATATAAGACAAACCCACAGCTACCATTGCAGTAAACAGGGAAAAGTTGAAAGCATTTCCCCTAAGAACTGCTTAAGACAGTTCTTAGGGAAATAAGACAAGGGTGCCCACTGTCCCCACTTCTATTCAAAATTGAACTGGATGTTCTAGCCAGAGCAATCAGAAAAGAGAAAGAAAGAAATAATACCCAAATCAGAAAAGAGAAAGTCAAACTATAGCTTTTCACTGATGATGTGATTTTGTATCTAGAAAATTCCAAAGACTCCACCAAGAGACTCCTGAAATTGATAAACAAATTCAGCAAAGTGTCAGGTTACGAAATCAATGTACACAAATCAGTAGCATTTCTATATACCAATAGCACTCAAGCTGAGAGTCAATTCAAAGACTCAATACCATTCACAATAGCTACGAAGAAAATAAAATATCTAGAAATATAATTAACCAAGGAAGTAAAAAATCTCTACAAGGAGAACTAAAAAACACTGAGGAAAGAAATCACAGATGACACAAACAAATGGAAAAATGTGTCATGCTCATGGATTGGTAGAATCAACATTGCTAAAATGTCTGTACTACTCACAGTGATTTACAGATTGAATGTAATCCCCATCAAAATACCAATGTCATATTTCACAGATCTAGAGAAAATAATTCTATGCTTTGTTTGGAACCAAAAAAGAGCCCGAAGAGCCAAAGCAACCTTAAGCAAAAAGAACAAATCTGGAGGCATCACATTACCAGACTTGAAACTATACTACAAGGCTACAGTAACCAAAACAGCATAGTATTGGTACAAAATTAGAAATATAGACCAATGAAACAGGACAGAGAACCCAGACATAAAACCACCTACCTACAACAAATTGATCTTTGACAAAGCAGACAACAACATACACTGGGGGAAAGAAGCCCTATTCAATAAATGGTGCTGGGAAAACTGGATAGCTACGTGTAGAAGAATGGAACAGGACACCTATCTCTCACCACTTACAAAAAATTAATTCAAGATGGATAAAATAATTAAAGGCATGAAACCATAAAAATTTTAGAAGAAAGTGTAGAAAAAAGTCTTCTAGATATTAGCCTAAGCAAAGAATTTATGACTAAGACCCCAAAGGTAATTACAGCAACAACAAAAATAAATAAAATGGGACTTGATTAAATTAAAAAGCTTCTACCTGGCTAAGGAAATAATCAACAGAGCAAACAATCTACAGAATGAGAGAAAATATTCGCAAACTACACGTCTAATAAAGAGCTGCTATCCAGAATCTACAAAGAACTCGAACAGATCAGCAAGAAAAAAAAAAAACAAAAAAACACACCATTAAAAAGTGGGCAAGAGACATGAACAGCAGTTTTTCAAAAGAAGAAAGACAAATGGCCAATAAACATATAAAAAATGCTCAATGTCACCAATCATAGGGGAAATGTATATTAAAACCACAATGAGATATTGCCTTAGCCCTGTGAGAATGGCTTTTATTAAAAAGTCCAAAAACAACAGATGCTGCCATGGATATAGAGAAAGTAACACTTATTTACTGTTGGTGGGACTGCAAATTAGTACAATCTCTATGGAAAACAGTACAGAGATTCCTCACAGAACTAAAAGTAGCCCTACTATTTCAGCCAACAATCCCACTACTGGTTATTTACCCAAAGGAAAAGAAGTCATTTTATCACAAAGACATCTGTACTTGAATGTAATTAATTGCAGCACAATTCACAATTGCAAAGATGTGAAATTAACCCAAGTGCACATCAATTCATGAATAGATTAACAAAATGCAGTCTATGTATACCATGGAGTACCACTCAGCCATAAGAAGAAGTGAATTCATGTGTTTTGCAGCAATTTGGATGAAACTGGAGATGATTACCCCAAGTGCAGTATCTCAAAAATGAAAAAAACAAACACCACATGCACTCTCGAATGATTTGGAACTAACTGATGGGCACGCACTGGCACAAAAAGAAATGAAAATCATTGGAAATCAAGGAGGAGTGAAGGGGAGAAGGGGAGGGGTAAAAACTTACCTAACAGGTACAATGAACACTACTCAGGTGATGGGCACACTTATTATAGACATGACCAAAACTTATTCATGTGACAAAAGCATTCATACCTCCTTAATATTTTGAAATAAAAAAAATTTAAAAAAATTTTGCAATTGTATATTAAAAAAAAAAGAAGTCCTACTTCACTGATCCTGATGGTAATAGGTTCCGCTGCCTCTCAGACAGATGATATTACACAGGCAAGCAGTACCTGTGCATTACAAATGTCTGAGTCAAATGTGAGGCCAGAATAAAACCTTACAGAAAATCACCCTCGGAGCAGGTTGAATTTTTCCTTGGGGAAGGCATACTGCAGTCTCAGGGAAGACAGCCTTGTAGAATAAGGTTGTCTTGGTAAGAGAGCCCCTGAGCTGTGTAAAGAAGAAAAGTCACTTTCCTCTCTGATCCTTCCTCATGTGTAACCAGGGGACCATCAGACCTAACACAGGCTCCCACATTAAGTGTCAGGCTCTCTGGAAGACCACTGCAAGCTCCCAGGAGTGCCCGGGAGATTTTAAATTTTTAAGGTCAACCCAGGACACCCATCAGACACCAAAGGAACTTGAAGCTTGATGCAGTTCAGGCTTCCAGCATTAGATCACCACCATCCCTTGTGATGACAACCTATCTTTGCAAAATTGATTTTCAAAATTTCCCTGATAAAAAGCAAGTACCAAGGAAGTCCACATGAAACAGAAAATGAAGGTAGTGGTCTCCAATCTGATCCCAAGATTTGAGAGGCTGTACTTTTCCGTACAGGTGCTACATTGTTAAGGTACAAATACCTATTAAGTTGCTTTGATCTATTTAATAAAGAGAGCATTAGGTATTATTTCTTTTGGCCTAAGGACTCTCTGAAAAAAATTCCTGAGATACTAATGTGCTGTGAACAAGGAACTTTAGGAACCTCTAACCTCAATCAGTAGGCTTCAAAATAAGATGATGTCTGGGAAAGTACTTTTGAAAAGTAAGAAGCAGCAGTTGGTAAATTTTCCTTCAAGCCAGGGAGTAAATCCCTCATGCTCTAAGGTCTCTGCTGAAACTGGTCAACTCTGCTGATTGTAGCACACACAGAAAGCACACAAATGATAGGTATGGCTGTTTGCTAATAAAATTTTGTTCACAAAAACAGTTGGTAGGCTCTATTTGACCACTGGGGGTATAGTTTGTTGTGCTCTGTTCTAAAGTGTTTTATAAACATACAGTGCCTACACCTATGGGAGAAGCTGAAGAAAAATCACCCTAAGAGTTTATATTGTTTTTGCCTCTCAGGGAAAGGAGGGAGACATCTGAAGCCTTAATCCAAGTTTAAAGAAAAAAAAAAATCTCTATAACATCTATCCAGATAAGTGTGTGAAAAGTGGGCCCTTTCCCTGAAATTATCTAGATCCTGATTTTATTTCATTTTGTTTTATGATTATGGGGAAATTCCATCAACAACCTAGCAGGTATATTTCCTACATGTAGGTACAGAGAGTAAGTCGTGAAGTTCGTATCTGCAGGGATTCATTCCGGGTAATCTTTTTATGACATCTTAGCAAAGACACCTGCAGCAACCAGGTCTGGAAGCAGGTGAAGAAAAGAACAAGAAAGCGTGAGACCAGCTCCACTGCCGCTGTAAGGATAACCTATGTTTCACAGTGTTTTTTACAAAACAAGAGTCGCTCTGTACATCCTGCAAAGGCCAGGTGTGCTGACCGTGGAGGAGCAGGGACACATGGCCTCGTGTGAAACCTCGGTTGAGTTTGGCCCCCCACTCAAGGCTCATGAGATGTGTCATCCCACGTGGGCCTTTGGGAGCTCTGTGAAGTGAGTACAATGCCCCCATTTCACAGCAGACAAACTGATGCTCAAAGAGGCTAATAAAGTGGCTCAAGGTGCTACAGTGAGCAAGTGGTTAAGTCACTTAACTTGTTTAGACATCCACGGCCTCATCTGTAAAAGTGTCTATGGGATTCTCTTCAAAGTCTTGCGACTTTAGCGCAGCCCCCTCTGGGAAGGCACCAGTGAGCCTGAGCCAGACCTGCAGGGAGTCTGCTGGGATGTGTCTGGACGCAGGGGCAGCTGCGCACACGAGGAGCTGGGCTGCGCCAGGCACTTCTCCCACTGCACGGGGGTCTGCACATCCCCTGGTACACGGCTCAAGCTCACACGATCCACACCGCCATGTCTACTTGGAATTCCATGGCCTGAATCATTAGCTTGCAAAGCCAAAGCATCTCAGAAGATAAAATTATCCTCCTGGCACTTCTCAGACTGTGCTCTTGACCTCTTCTGTTAGGCTACAGTTTTGTTTCTAGCTGTGCAAATGTCACATAATGCCACTGAGCGCGGCAGTGTCTTCTTCATAGCAACAGATCATAATAAAAGTCCCTCGGAGGCTGTTTGTGTTTCAAACACACATGGAATAAAACAAAAAATACAGTGTGCTATATAAAGCAAGAGAGACGTATAAGCTTCATCTTTCATTCGCAGCCAATTGGTTTTAATAAGCTTTTATGCTGAGAGGTGAATAATTAGCATATGTTCTTAATTAAGATTTTTCTGGAGCCGTAGAGCGCTCCAGGTCATTAAAAATGTTTCATTAATATATCTTCATATCTTAATTCCATTATCTTCCCATCAGTCAAAATACTTACAAAAAATAAAAATAAGTATTTATAATTTTGTATTTGCATAAGTAAACACTGGAAGAAAAAGGAAAGAATTCTTAAAACGCTCATCAGTATTGGTGACAGACGCAGGGTGAGGGGCAGGAATGGGAGCAGGATTGCTTATGTACACTTTTAATTTTGTTTTGGCTTTTGAAATAGGTAAATGTTTTTACCTGCTTCAAACAGACAGAGAGATAGACAGACACAAACACGAGGCCCCTGCTATCACACCTGGCCTGGCGTGTAGCCTACGTGTGTCAGGGTCTAAGGCAGACAGACAAGAACATAGGTGAATGTGTGCAGATGTATCCCAGTGTTTTAAGGGGCGGCCTTCTCAAAACAGGCCTCAGGGACGATAGTGATGTGATCTGTGGGTGAGATGCCACCATCCAGGCTGAGCTCCTGCTAATGCCGGCACCATGAGTGGGAGGGAAGGTCTTTATTGAGTATGTGAGGGGAAGGGGCCCTGGGGAAAAAAAAATCTGAGATGAAACAGTAACTTTAGACAGCAATTTTTTTAAAAAAGAAATCTTTCCTAAGTTAACATTTGGGTAACTGTAAATTGCTGCACAATGAATGTGTTTAGGAGGCCCAGAAACTCCCTATTCCTGGAGAGTGACTAAATGCATGTCACACCTTGCAGCTGCTTCTGCAGTTGGTGATCCCAGTGCTGTGGGACGGTAAGGAGCACCCTCCTCGTGACTGTACTCTTTGCAAATATATGCAGGCAGGTGAAGCCATGTGAAAAATAAAGCTCTTTGTTTAGGAACGCCAGCTTTTCTGTGATTTTTAAAATAGATAAACCATAAGAGGAGCGTCCTTTACGGAAGGCGGAAGGAACGTACCCACTTGGGCATCTTGCCCCCGTCGGGGTCGTGGTGGTGGTACTGCAGCACAATCACTGTCACCACCACAGAGAGGCCCACGATGATCATGGTGCTGGCGAAGTACTGGGCTGCGGAGAGAACAGACGCAGGGTGAGATGCGGGGGCTCCCTTGGCCTGAACATCACAGGACAGGTGCACCCTGACCAGGTTCTCTGCCCATCGGGCCTCGGGGGGCAGTGTTGCCCGGTGCCAGACAGGACTGCCTCCTGCTGCTGGCCAGGCCTGCAGCCCACCACCCACCTTCCAGTCGGGCAGAGACCCACCTGTGAGGTCTGACTTCCCACCCATGGAGTGGCCTTGCCTCATTGATTCCACTTCCAGGCACCCTGTCCTCCTCGTCCATCAATGAGAGCTAGCAGTGCCTGGAAGGATGGTGATAAGGCTGTTACCAAGAGTAAACACTGGACACGGATAGTGTGGTCACCATCATGACTGCCAGCCTCGGACATGCTCCGGGGGTATGACAAGGGCATACCTGGGCACCCCCAGGCTGCTCTATCAGCCCTGGACACTTAGGCTGTTAGTTTGGGAAATGAGTCTGGTTCCATCTCATGGGAGACTGAGGGTAGGGGTTCCAGCTATTCAGCCTGACAAAGACGTCACTGACAGTGACTTTTCAGGCCTAGAACATCAGCTTCCACTAGGGTGGGCCCTGGGTGTGTGTCTCTTCCTGGGCCCAGTTCAGAAACAGCAGGGAACATCTGAAAAAGCCTTAGCTCTATTCCTCTGGCTGCAGGCTGGGAGTTTGGACAGGCTACTCAGCCTCTCTGGGCCTTGAGTTCTTGGACACGGATAGTGCAAAGGATGGAATGTTTGTGGTATGCCCACAAAATTCATGTGTTAAAACCCTAGTCCCAATGGGAGGGAATTTGGAGGTGGGCCTTTGGGAGATACAATATTGTGATTTATAATGAGAAATAATATTTGGTCTTCCTCCCATTTCCTAGCCCACAGCTCTTAAAACCCTTGAATCTCCAAGTCATAGGTGTCTTTTCAGATGCTAATAAGATCACTGGTGGCTGGGAGCTCCTGGGTTGCCTCAGGATGGGGGCTGGTTGCCAAGGGAACCAGCCTTGTCATTAGAAATGCCCCACCCTTGACCTCTGGGGAGGAGAGAGGGACAGAAAATTGAGTTGGTCACCAACGGCAAACGATGTAACCAATCATGCCTATGTAATGACGGCTCCTTAACAACCCGAACGGACAGGGCTCAGAGAGATTCCGGTTGCTGAACATGTGGGGGTGCCTGGAGGGTGGTGAACCCAGAGGATGGAAGCTCACCCCATCCCACATGCCCTATACATCCCTCCCATCTGGCTGGTCATCTCTATCCTTTATAATGTCCTTTATAATGACCAGTAAACATAAAGTGCCTCCCTGAGTTCATGAGCCATTCTAGTAAATGACTGAACCCAAGGACGGGCAGTCATTAGTCAGAGCATGGGAAGCTGAGACGTGCGACTGGCACATGAAGTGAGGGCCGTCTGTGTGACGGAGCCCCTAACCTGTGGGGTCTACCCTAGCTCTAGGCAGACGGTGTCAGAACTGAATTGAACTATAGCACACCCAGCTGCTGTTGGAGAACTTGTCTGGTGGGGAAAACTTGCACATCTGGTATCAGGAGTGTGTGTTGTATAAGCGGAGAAACAGTGAGCGTTTTTCTCAGAGGAGGTAAGTAGGTCCTGAGGATGGAGCCCTCATGAATGGGATTAGTGCCCTTTGTAAAAAGAAGCCAGAGAGCTAATTAGCTCTCTTTCTGCCATGTGGGGCCACAGTGAGAAGACAGCCTCCTGTAAACCAGGAGGTGGACCCTCACCGGAACCTCGTGCTGGCACCCTGATCTCTGACTTCCAGCTTCCAGAACTGTAAGAAATAAATGTCTGTTGTTTAAGCCGTCCAGTCCATGGCAATTTGTTAGAGCAGTCAGAACTAAGATAAATAAAAAGCCCCTTCTTGTAGGATTAGTGCAAGAATTAGGGATTATACGGGCCAAGATCTAGGAGAAAGCCTGGCATGGAGGAGGTGGTCTTTAATTGGCAACTCTATTAGACCTTGGGTGTAGCTGCCCACTCCTGAGGGCTGAGCTCTAAGTGAAAAGCTTCGTGGTGCAGGAGCCCAAGTGTACGGCCCACACACCTGGCTGAGTCCACCACCTGCCCTCCAGCCAGGAAGGAACTCACTGCTTCCTATAGAGACCAAGAGGTCCCTGGGAAGAGCTCTGTCAGAGGTAGAGATGTGTGACTTACACTAGCATCAGGGCCCTCTGCAAAGGGGAAGGCGAATGGACCAAACCATGACTGTTATGACCTGAATTGTGTCCCCCTAAAATCCACATGCCAAGGCTCTAAGTCCAGTACCCCAGAATGTGACTATATTTGGAGATAGGGTTGGAGGTAATTAAGGTAAAATGAGGTTATTAGGGTGAGCCCTAATCCAATCTGACTGGTGTCCTTACAAACAAAAAGAGGAAATTTGGACACACAGAGAGACAGGAGGGCTGCGTGTGCCCAAAGGAAGGACCGCGAAGGGACAAAGCATCCTGAAGATAGCTTTCTGCAAGCCCAGGAGCGATGCTTCAGAGGAAACCAACTCTGCTGACACCCTGGTCTCAGACTTACAGCCTCCAGAACTGTGAGAAAATAAATTGCTGTTATTTAAGCCACTCAGTCTGTGGTATTTTGTTAGGGCAGTCTGAGCAAACTAAACTAATACAATGACCGGGGTCAGTGCTCAACAGAGGGCAGCAAAGCCGACGTGCCTGAGGCCAACAATATCCCATCCTTCTAGACGTGGGCTGTGCACCAACCAAGCCCTTCCTAGGGGGTTCATCAGTCAAGACAAGGCTGCCAACAGCCCAGGAAAGGTGGTTTCTGTTGCAAGTCTCTATTGGAAACAATGTGTTGGAAGATAGTGTAGAATGAAGGAGGTCAGAGCCAAGTAGAAAGGTGGTTCCACCCTGTCTGGATGGTACCAAAAGAAATGTGACGACCACAGAGGCTTCTCATACCAACAGTTTCTCTGGCCAAAATATTCACATAGGGGAGTTCCACAAAGACGGGCCTTGGCTGCTTGGTTCCTTAAGCCTGGGGGTATCCGTTCAAGGTGCTCCCACCGCAACCTACCCTAGTTAGCCACACAGGATGGTCCTCGGGTAGCAGGGCCAACAGGCATAATCACAGACTGCATTCCTGTTCCCAGCCTCTACCATCCAATGGGAGTGGAGACTCTCAGTGCTGCTGTCCCTCCCTAGGCAGAAGGTCATGCCTCATACCCATCCTGGGCCAAGCATATTTATCCCATTCATATTTCCCCAAAGACTTTTATTCTATACAGAGATTGAGTTATCTCAGGAAACAATGGCTAAGAGTTAAAGTGTGTGCTTCCCCCATTTTAACAAAGGCTTTATGGGAAAACAATATGTTAAGCTAAAATAATAAATTTCTGATGATAAAATATCTGGCTTCACAGCAAGCATGATGGGGAGAATTATGGGGGGAATGGAGGCATTTCTGCAAGTTAAAGTCAAACTGCAAAGCTGGACATCTCCTTCCCCTTACTTAGGCCCAGGTGACAAGAGGCCATGGGTCACTCTCAGAATGGTTACAGCAAGCCATCCCCTCCCAGCAGAACATGGGGGCAGTACAGCCACCTTCCTTCTACTTTCATCTGCGGGGCAATCCTAGGCACTCTTTAACACCATATCTTTAAGGGAGGAGCCCAGCTCTTGCCTTACCTATCAATGGCACGGAATCAGATGTTGCTGGCATGATCTCAGCCACAAGCAGCATGAAGACAGTGAGAGAGAGCAAAACTGTTATCCCTAAAACATAAACATACAGTGGTTCTGTAGATAAAACAGACAGTAAGGCCCAAATGTTGTCTAACAGAGGTTCCCAGCCTAAGACTCAAACAACGAAGTGCTGGGGGAACATCATGGAATGCATGGTCTCTCTACACGCGGGCATGTTCCTGGGCAGAGTCTATGCCATTCACCAGTCTCAAAGGAGTCCCTGATGGAGACGAGTTTAGGAGCCAGAACTTTGGAAGGATCAACACAAACTGAATAATTTTACTTAGCACAATTGTCTTTTACTTTCCTTATTGTATTATTATTGAGAGGTAGTTTTCATGTAGCAGGAAAAAGAAAATATGTAGTCAGAAGACCTGATTTCAGGTCTTAAGTTTGATATTTAAAGCTATGTGACCTTGGATATGTCATTTAATGTTTGTGAGGCTCATACTCAGAAGATGCCAGTTTGAGAATGATTTCTACCATGTACTACACATGATCTTTAGAAGCTCTTTAAGATATTGAGAAACTCATTCACCATTCGAAATCTTAGTCTCCTTACCCTCATGTGGGAGCGATCGTCAGGGACTGCATGGTGTACAGCAGCACACAATGCAAGCTGACGTTGAGCTAAACTACCACCTGTCCACAAGGAATGCTGACCAGTGGCCATCAGGGAACAGGGTGGGGCTGCAGGAGGGGAGGAAGCACAGTCCCTTAGGGCAGAATCCAGCTGGCCCCTGCCTGTGTGTCCCTGTCCTTAGTGTAGGGGCAGACGATCCGAGGATCCTACAGCATTCTCAGGAGGGGACCAAACTTCAATCAGGAGCCTCCAGTGTCCTGGGCTGGGAGGTCTGTGTGATGAGCCACACAGGCCCCTAAGACCCTGAATGGCCACTGCACTATCCGCAGTGAGCTCTGCAGAGCTGACTTCAAGGAACGGCCTTCAGTCCCAGACTCCCGCCAGAGACTCGGGCACTTACCCAGAGAGATCTTCTCCCCGGAGTCTGCGGGGAGCAGGAACACCAGCAGGGCGAGGGCGGAGATGAGCACACAGGGGATGAGCAGGTTGAGGCCATAGTAGAGGGTCCTGCGGCGCATGGTCACTGTGAAGGTGACATCTGGGTACGGTTCTTTGCAGCACTCATAGAACTTCTCGTTCCTCTTTCCGGGGATCCCTCCATGGGGAGGAGAAGAAAAGGAACCACGGTTAGAATACAATAAATTACCATGTTTATTTCAATGAGTATGCCACACACAAGCATAGCCCTGGAGTTTACGAAATGCTAAAAAATTGAGGGATTAGTGTTTGAATAGACTCTTTCTGGTGTATTATAGAGCTCTTTAAGGGTATCTTAAAGCAAATGGGCAAATATTCTTTTGACGGATTGGAAATACATGATGGTTAACAATACATTGTCAATTTTCAAGTGTTAAAAATGCAATCATGGCAACAGAGTGAGACTCTGTCCCCCTCCAAAAAAACAATGTAATCATTGTTTTCGATTTAAAATAATCAAATACAGGTTCCCATCAACTGAAATTTGCTGTGCAACCCGATTTTAGGAATGGACTGGATTCGAATAATGTCGGGATACCTCCACTAGTGCTGCTTTCTTTAAATGTGACCTCACTGTAGTTGCAAGTTCCTCTTAGACAGCATTGAGTTTTCCAATTGTTTTATTTCTCATCATATAGCTCTCAGTAAATTATGGATAATGCTTCATAGTTCAATAAATGCTCTCACTGAAAAGGACATTGGAAAATCCCAAACTTTAGCTTGCCCAGGAATAAAATAGCTTTCTTCCAGGCTGCTAGTCTCGTCTCTTTCCTGGGCTTACCCACGAGATCCCACTCTCCGTTTGGGATGTAGCTACTGATATCTGCCTCCTGCATCTGCAGATCCAATGACCAGCCTCCGTAAGACCAGGACCCAAACTTCAGTTTGCACTGCTGCATATCAAAGGGAAACCAGCGCACGTCGATGTAGCAGGAGCTCTTGAATATGCCTATGTGGGTGACAGAAACAGTCAGAAAACTGAAACAGAAACTGACTGAGATGTGCTCAAAATACAAAGCGGTTCCTTCAGCCTATCCTGCCCATCCAAACTACAGCTCACCCTGTGCAGAGCAAACTGCATCTTTGTGTGTGTGTATGTGTGTGTATGTGCGTGTATGTGTGTGTACAAAATCTCTATAACAGAAGCTCAGTCCAACCCTCATTATCTTTCAAAATTCAAACACAACACTGACAAGCTCTGTCAAAGAAGACTCTTTTGAGGGCTTTCTGTGCAAAAATAAAAATAGCTCTATAAATTTGCATTTACCAGGAGCATTTTCAGACTCTAAATAATAAGAGAAAAATAAAGAATGTAAAAAATCTCAGAGAAGTTGATAAAAATGATGACATGGTTAAAAATTGAATCTGAGATGTAGTAAGGGTGTGTGTGTGGGGTGGGCATTTTCTTTAGGTTAAAAACTGGGAGGACACTTGATTACCTAGAAATATAATCTAGAATTCTAGTTAAAACTAGATTTTAACAAGTTTAAATTCTAGATCAAGAACAGAACAAGAACTGATAGATTTCAGTTGAAGAGATAGTGCTCGAATACAGAAAAGAGTTTCCACTAAAAAGAGCTATTCCAGGCTAGGACAGGGTGGAAGCGTATTTCCTCGAGGGCCACTGAGAGGAGAGAAGAGGCCACTCCTGGTATTTAAGTGCACGTGCTTGTCCCTACCCAGAGAGACACTTGATCTCTCTGGAAGACATGAATAGCTTAAGTGTCCCAGTGCTCATGGGGCTGGTCAGGTACTCTGTAAATTTCTGCTACTGAATTAAAGAAAGAATTCATGGAAGAAGTGACTTCTTCGCAAAGAAGGACCCCACCCTGCAGTCAAGTTGGGAAAAGATAATAAATGTTTGATCCTCAAGTTTCTTTAAATCTGATGTGAGGCACCGCATCTATCATTCACGGGAATCTGGAGTCATCACCGACACTGCCCCCAGCCATGCGCTGGGTCTTTCAAAACCCACATTGTTTGCAAGTTAGAAAACTCTATATAACCTTATGATTCCATTTCTATGAAAATGACCCAAGAGAGAGAATTTCTAGAGACAGAAAGCAGATCAGTGGTTGCCTGGGGCTGGTGATGGGAGCAGGGATTAACTGCAAACAGGCAAAAGGCATCACAGTGGGGTGATGGGAATGTGCTAAATCGAGACTGTGGTAATGATTGCATAATTCTGTAAATATACTAAAAATTGTTGAATCATGCACTTAAAATGCATGAAATGTAAATTCTACCTCATTAAAGCTGTTAAAAAATAAACACAAGGGGTAAAAAAGTCATGGTATAATCAAGTCTCTATTTCTAAGCTTGCCCCAAAACATTCTTTCTCCCCCGTGCCTCCCCATCCACAGGCACAGCAGCATCGGGAACCAGGCTTGCTGTCCCCCAGCCCGACGCTGTGGGAGACTCCCACGGTCACAGCACGATGTGTCCTGTCCCAGTCAGGGCCACTGAGGCGGGGACTCAGGAATCGGGCCCAAGAGGGGCTGTTGCACTCAGGCAGCTTGAGGATTGAATTCCCAGTGCTGCTCCTGTAGCTGGAAATAGCCTCAGCCTTCAAAACAACCTGCAGCACCATGTTCTTCTACACGAGTCACTACTGGAGGTTGTTTTCTAAAATGGTCCTCAAAATAGAAGCCGTCATTTTCAGGCCTGGTGAAAAAGCCCTTGTGTGTGATGCAAGGCTCACCCCGCAGCCCCCCTGCGCA